AAAAGTATATATTGCAAAAGAAGTTTGGGGGTTTTGGATGCCTAAAATAAATTTAAATATAAATTATGTTGCTATAATATTCCAAAAAAAAAAGTTTATGATAAGCATTTATTAATCATTCGATACAAAATAATTATTTTAAAAATTATTTAAAATTTCGCTATACTTTCATCAAAGTTTATTTTTCCTAAACTCTCCCTAAGTCGAAAACATGTCACATGACATAATCATTTAAAACAATAGGTTATATTGGTTGACATTTTCCAATTTATGTTACTTGTCTTATATATTCAACATTTTTTAATTTTTAGTCAACGCTAAATAACTCACCCTTGAATCATTGGATCCTCTCCTTTTTTATATATCATGTCATTTTTCATGTTTTTAATTTAACGGTTCAGAATTTATAATGAATAATTAAATAAAAAAAGTCATTTAATAGGAGAGAGAAATGAATAAGTAATTAAATGATTTTTTTTTATTTAATTATTTCTTATAAATTCTAAACCGTTATATTAGAAACATGAGAGATGACATGATATATAAAAAAAAAGGATTCAAATCCGAATCAGATATAATATCTTATAATCCTACTTCCTTTGCCGTATCTAATCTAACAATGACTGGGATACTGATTGTTAGAACAACCACTAGTAAAAAATGAATAATCAAAGTGTAAACGAACACAATATTTGTTATATTGTTTGACAAATTATATTCCTATGTATGTTGTTGCATATCAATTATAGTTTTATATTATTATTTTGAATGGAGTATGATTTCAATGTTAGAAGTGATAAGCCCCTCGGCCCAACTCTTTTTTGTGACTATTAGTCAAGCTTAAATATCCTTTATAAAAAATTTCGACATGACAACCACATCTAACACATACTTAACACTAAGAAAAATGGAAAGAAAAAAAATTCAAGTAGTGCTTACACTTGTCGTTAGTGATTGACTTTTAACATATCAACTACATTTGCTTAAATTTGAACTTTTTTAAATAATATTTATCCAAATGCAATATCTCTTCGGTCTTGTAAAACCTCACATCAACAAGCTTGGTTTCAGTTGAACTTAAACTTTCTCAACACCCAATTACTTAACCAAACCTGGCCAGTATGAATTGAATTAAATATCTCTAACAAATAGGTCCATCATCAAGAGTAAAAATATATCATGTTATAGACCTCATATCTACCGATGATGGTATAGTTTAAATTAATGTATCCAAAAATAAAAGATTCCCCATATCTACTGTTAAACATAATACCATTATCCATTGTTATGGATGTCAATTTGCATATGTTAACGAGGATTCCCGTGGAGATTATCTATTCGGAGTTCCAAAGTCGGGGATTTTCCCCCATGGGTGCGGAGATGGATGAAAAAGTTTTCCCGGTGTACTTTAAAGAAGAGATCAGGGATGTTCTCTCTGCATCGCGAATTCCCCGACTCTGACCCTATTATTTAACTTTAATAGATAATATATAATTTTGCATGTTTTTTTTATAAAAATAATAATTAATATATTAAGAAATAAAGAGTCATTACTTGATCATTTTATTTAATTTTATCTTTTTATAATGTATTGTTTCACTTTCCAAATACCCAACCCTAAAAAAGTTCGCCAACTTGTTAGCTGGAAATTTTAACTAATGAGAGGAACCCAGTAAATAAGGGAAGTCTAGAAGAAATGAGTTTCGACCATATTTTGGGACATAGAAAGAATTTAGTTGTTAAATGGAGCATCTCGACACCACTTCATTTCGATCACGCAGGTTCTATGTTGTTGGCAAGGTTGGTCGAAGAAGCGGTTATTTAGGCGCAATATGTTATGTTAAAATATTTGATAATTGCTTTAGTCCCTTTTTCTAAGAAGACACATGTAGAGGTTTTAAAGATAAGTTATATTCAGAATTACACGTGGCGAACTCATGAAAGAGGAACATGAAGGGTAGTTATTTTGCACTTGTATATATAGTAGTTCATTAGGTTGAATTAAGGGTGGTTCATTATGTTACAAAAATCTCACTGAAAAACTCAAAGGATCAGCGTTAAGGGAAACGAGCGAATAACTGAGAAGATGTAAGTGTATATGAAACACCATATTTTACTTTCAATGCAAATTTTCTAGTTTACTCAATTTACACTTTATTTTGTTTCTTTCATCTTCGTTTTTTTAAAGGTCTTTATTTTCTTTTAAAATTTTCAGTATTGTTACCTTACTTTTATATTTCTTGCAATAGTCTCTCAACATAGCATTTATTCAATACCTTCCTTCGACCAAGTTGAACTCTGTCATCCTAACAACACAAAGAAATCAATAATAAAAGGTTATTAGGCACTATGTTCTAGGATTCCCTGGTTGATCCTGCAAGTAACCCGTATTTTGGAGACCAGCGGTTGTTTATCATTTATCATGGTAAACAAATTGGCACGCTCAGTGGGACTTGTGCTAAACTTCCTATCGGTTTACAGATTGTCTTTGTTTTCTTACATTTGAAAAATAGTAGTCTGTTCTTAAGAGTTTCCTCTAGGCATTTTGTATACAATTAAGGAGTGGTAAGGGTTTATCTAGTATGTCTCGTCCTCCTGCAGATAACGTTAATCTCCAGAATAACCCTCAAGATGTAGTGTAACAGACGGTTGTATCAGCAGTTGAAGAGTCAGTTCTTTCGACGTCAGTTAGAACAACAACTCCATCGGTATTAGTGGCACCCGCCGCAACGATGACACTCTAAGGTACTACACCCCTGCCGCAATCAAGAAATACCCTTAATAATCCTGCGCTTGCGAGACCTTTGTTTGGGTTCTCAATGTCATCATCAGGCAGAGATTACCCCTATGGTATGCCAACTTCTATTATGACTAACATGCAACCCAATATGTTAACTTTTAGTGACAATGTGATGGCCACAACGCCATTTTACAATCCCTACAATGTCTTGATATCGACCATCAATAATATGACACGACCAGGAGGGATAAGTTACATCCTTCAAATGGGGTAGCAGATGGATGAGAGCAGTATGGAATTAGTGAATACTCTCATCCAACAAATGGGAACTATTTTTAACTCGTTAATAGCCAATACAAACCAAACTTAAGAAGTATTAGCAAATCAAATAGGGCACATAGCTGGTTTCTTTGGCACACCCCAAATACCAGTTCGACCGACTCTGCAGATATCAAATGTTAGGATGGTCAAAACCCCTGAGAATGCGATAATACAACCTACTATGGCCCAAAATTAAGGGCTGCAACATGAAAAACCCTTAAATATGGAGCAGATAAAACAAAGCACCTTTGGACCTTTGGTAGTTCAGAAAAACTAAGTTGTTGATCAAATTCTCTGACAAGTCCAACAAAACAACTTTGCAGGACAAAATAACGTAAGAAATGTGGTCGAACAAATTCTAAAACCTCATAAAGTCATTATCATATTTTGATGGCAACATCATTGTTTTTGACCGACCCTCAACGTCATTTGTTTATTTCAAATGTATTACCACCCTATATCATTCAACGTTCTCCTTATTATTAAAAACAAATTAAAATTCAAGTTTTTTAAATAAAATATTTTGATAATTAATTTGTAAATTAAATATACAAAGGGAGATAAATGAACCGTGTAATATCACATGTGGAGTAAAATTCATACTGAAAATGGTGCATTTTTTCCCTTTAAATAGAAGCGTTTGTTAGTATCTAAAATGTAAGTGTGAGCGTGAGACACGGATACTCGTTAGACGCATCTGAACGATAGAGATGTGTCTTTCGGATGAGGTGATCAGAGGATGCATGACTCTAAAGTTGTCCATCCTTGTTGACTTGTTCTTTCCTTATATTGGGCCTTTGTGCTTCTTTTGGCCTTTTTGGTCGGCTCAGAACAAGTTTAATTAATTTATATATCATTTTAAATAATTTTATTCCAACAATGAATAATACATGTGTTTATAATAAATTAGAGCAATCTTTATCCTATAATACGGTTTTATAAAGATGAATTATACCTATAACACATTTTTTAACCCTTGGATGGTTTGTGTTTTGGTTTTCATAGATCAAAGTTAAGATTTAGATGTTATGCAAAGTCGACAGTATGTTTATTAAAATGTCTAAGCTGCACTAATTTCTTAATGTCTGCTTCAAATCTTCTACAATATATGATGAAGTGAAGAAATCCAATTTTAGCAAAAAGATTTGAAGGCTGAAACATAGAAGTTGTTTTCACAAAATGGAACTGGTCTAATTACATCAGAAAAGTCTGTTTATAAATGTTGAGCTACTTACCATTTTCAAGCCAATTTTATTCATGTTCTTGATATGTTGTTATAACAAATCACAATGGTTGAGTTAAAAGGATATGTGAAAACAACATTCATACCTAAGAACTTGCCATGAAAAGTATGTGGCCAACCAACCATAATTCTACCACCATTATATAGGAATGTTCTTGGTGTACACAGTTGACTCATGACATATAAACTTTATTGCTAGACCCTTAATAGTTTCAACACCTTGCTCTCATTAACATCATTGATCATGGAAAATCATAGAGAAGATGAGATTGAGGACAACATGTCAACGCCTTCCGTCGGTTCCATGCAGATTGCAGGAAGCAATGGCTTTGGTCATAGCATGGAGTTCATGTCTCAGGCATACCTTCACAATCGGTATCCGGAGATTGATATACAAGTCGAGGATTCAACTTTCAACCAAGATCCTCCTCTTCCGGTATATCTCAAGGTACTGAAAATTTTGAGCAAGGTTTTTATTGTCTCATAAATCGAAGTTTTTTCTTTTATCACATTCTCAAGTAATGTGCAGTTTGAAGATGTAGAGTTCAAAGTGCGAAATTGCCAAGTAGCTTCCAAGAACCCTGTGAAAACAATGGTGTCAAAGGTAGCCATACAAAACAATGTGGAAGAGAAAAACAAATACAAGACAATTCTAAAGGGTATCACAGGAAGCATTGGCCCAGGCGAAATCCTTGCTTTGATGGGTCCTTCTGGTAGTGGAAAGACAACATTGTTGAGAGTTGTAGGAGGAAGATTACTTGATAATGTAAAGGGAAAGATAACTTACAATGATGTTCCATATAGTCCCGCTCTAAAAAGGAGGTTAAACATTTCTTTTTAAGAATCTATGTAACACTGACACCTCTGGAAAAAAAGGTGTCCGTGTCAGTGTCAGTGTCGGATTTGTATCTTAATGTCTCTCTCTTTTATGCTAACTTTATAGGATTGGATTTGTAACACAAGAGGATGTGCTTTTCCCGCAACTTACGGTGGAAGAAACATTAATCTTCTCTGCATTCTTAAGGCTACCAACCAACATGAGCAAGCAACAAAAATATGCAAGAGTTGAGAACACTGTCAAGGATCTAGGCCTAGAAAGGTGTGTATGACCTCAAATATAACTATTTAATGCTCTAATTCCTCCAAAGGAAAGAAATGGAACTGTTTTTCTAAATAATCTCTTGTATAATCATAGATGTCGCCACACGAAAATAGGTGGAGGATATCTCAACGGCATATCAGGAGGAGAAAGGAAGAGAACCAGCATAGGCTATGAAATTCTTGTTGATCCTTCATTGCTGCTTCTTGATGAACCAACTTCAGGCCTTGATTCTACGTCGGCAAACAAACTCCTTCTCACCCTTCAGGGACTTGCCAAGGTATATGATTGTAACAACGGATCCTAAATTTAACTGTGATTTTGATAACATGTTTTGAACATATAATGAAAAGATACTTTTGAAATTTTCTTAGGCTGGAAGAACTATAATCACAACAATTCATCAGCCATCCAGCAGAATCTTTCACATGTTTGACAAACTTCTTCTGATATCAGAAGGCCATCCTGTTTATTATGGAAAGGCTAGAGACACATCTGAGTACTTTTCATCCTTGAGATTGATCCCGGAAATACCGATGAATCCCGCAGAGTTTTTGCTTGACTTAGCAACTGGACAAGTGAATGATATAAGTGTTCCTGAAGATATTTTCAAAGATCAAGAATCTACTGACCCTTCAATAGCCGTTATTAAGGTAAGATTTATTATAATCTGTAGTATTGATATTATTTTATTCATCGTCTTAAGTTTTAGAAGATCCTGTCTAAGTTAGCCATAGTTCAAGCACGGAAAACAATTATACGTCCTACTTAATTGTTTTAATAGTGAAAAATATTTTATGAAATCTTATTTAAGTACGTTTTAACTGAGATAAATTTTAGACTCGGTGCGGTAAACCGTCTTGTACGCTTTGAAAGAAGGCTCTGATATTCATTGTCTACCTCTTCTTTATTATTTTAGTATGTACAAATCAAGTATAAAGACATATTGGAGCCAAAAGAAAAACAAGAGAATCATAGAGGAGCAAACACACCAAAACATCTTCAACTAGCCATACAGGTTAAAAAGGAATGGACATTGAGTTGGTTAGACCAATTCATTATTCTTTATAAGAGAACATTCAGAGCAAGACGCAAGGACTATTTCGATATATTAAGATTAGTCCAAGCACTTGGAATTGCACTTTTGTTAGGACTACTTTGGTGGAAATCTTCAATCGATACAGAAGCTCAACTCCGAGATCAGGTACTAGATAGTTTCGGAGACGGATCCAGACGTTTTAAGTAGCAGAAAGGAAATAATATCTCATTTTTTTGTGCAGGTTGGTTTAATGTTCTATATTTGTATATTTTGGACATCTTCATGTATTTTTGGAGCAGTCTATGTATTTCCATTTGAAAAAGTGTACTTGAAAAAAGAAAGGGTAGCGGACATGTATAGACTAAGTGTATACTATGCAAGTAGCACTCTATGTGACATGGTAGCACATGTTTTGTATCCTACATTTTTCATGCTCATTGTGTACTTCATGGCTGGATTTAAGAGAACTGTGGCTTGCTTCTTCCTTACGTTATTCGCGGTTTTGCTGATAGCGGTAACAAGTCAAGTAAGTTATGTCAAAACTCAGAACATGTTAAAGGGTTAAGGGTAAATATTTGCTTAAAGCTATAGCTTGAATGAATATGCATGTTGTTGTTGTTAATAGGGAGCTGGAGAACTATTTGGAGCTGCAGTTATGAGCATTCAAAGAGCAGGAATGGTTGCTTCTTTGATACTTATGTTGTTCCTTCTTACAGGTGGCTACTATGTTCAGGTATGCACAAAAGAGTAGCAAGAAGTGGCAATAGTTAAAAATAACTTGGTAGACTGTTCATTTATAAAATACCAACACCTCTGAAAAAATGTGTATCAGTGTCCGTGTCCGTGTCAGACACTTACATCGACATGCACGGACACTTCTGATTAGGTTTAATTTATTATATTAGCGTGTTAGTGTCTGTGTACATGCTTCAATATGGTTCTTTTCAAACCGAACTGATTCTTTGTGAACCGAACTGATTGTGTTGCAGCATATACCAAAGTTCATGCAATGGTTGAAGTATATGTCATTCATGTACTATGGATTCAGGCTTCTTCTAAAAGTGCAATATTCAGGAGATGAACTATATGAATGTGAAAGTGAAGATGGATGCAAGACCCTTCAAAGTTCACCTTCATTTGATACCGTAAACTTGAATGGAGGTTTAACTGAAGTTTGGGTTCTGCTGGCTATGGCTCTTTGCTTTCGAGTGTTTGCTTACTTTTGTCTACGTAGAAGGATTGACATATCCAATTAGTCCTTGAAGAAAATGAAAATTTCTTGTTTAAGATTTCTGCTATGAAGTTATTAACTTTGAAATTTGAGATAATGTTTGTCTCTACTAGTATTTGTTATTTTGTTAGGATAATTAAAGAGTTGTTAAGTTGAAGAAACATTAACATGCAAGGAAATGATTTTTCTTTAATAAATCAGTATTGTGAATCGGATACCTTTAAATAAAGTATAAACGGTTTCTTAATGATCAAGAAACTCACAAGGGTTAGGGTTAACAAAGAAGACAAGGTAAAACAATAAAGAACAACAAGGATTGGTTATTAAACTGCTATTCTTTTCTTTCTCTTAGAATAAGATTACAAGTATACAAGAATAACAAAATAACCTCTCTCCCTTGAAATTAGGATTTTATCTTCCTATTTTTTCTAATGCCAAGATTGAGAAACTAGCATCCTATTTATAATAAAATAACACGATAACCTAATGGACTTTTTAACAATTACCCATTACAAGATAACTTAGGGTACAAGCTAACTTAAACAATTAGGCTTACAAGCAAGGCCCAATTCAACATGCTAACAATCCTAGCAATATTGACTAATGCATGTTAGAACAGACTTCGACTACAACACGCATTACTCGCGAACAGACTTCGATCATACTAGAGTTCGATCCAACATCTCACAACCAGTATAGAAACTCCAATGCTCAAAACCAAAGATAGATCTTTCAAATTTTCTTTTTCTTAAAAAGAATGTAATGACTACTATATATTGCAATAATCAGCACATACAGAATTTTTTAACAAATAAAGAGGAAATAAGTTGTCCGCAAATCTCGATGCAAAGGATAATGATGTTTTTTCAACTCTTAAGTTGAGGGTAATTTTCTAACTCTCAAATTAATGGTGTTTTCTAACTCTCAAGTTAACGGTGTATTTCAATTCTCAAGTTAATAATGTTTCATCAAATCTTAAGTTGACGGTGTTTTCTAACTCTCAAGTAAATTGTACATTTCCAACTCTCAAGTTGACGATGTGTTCGAACTCTCAAGTTGATGGTATTTTTCTAACTCTCGAATTGATGATATGTTTCAAACTCTCAAGTTGAGGGTGTTTTCCAAATCTCAAGTTAAAGGTAAGTTTCAGCTCTCAAATTGGCGGTGTTTTTACAACTCTCAAATTTATGGTATTTTTTCAACTGTCGAGTTGATGGTATGTTTGCAACTCTCAATTTGACGGTGTGCTCCAACTCTCAAGTTGATGGTATTTGTTCAACTCTTAAATTGACGATATTCTCTAACTCTCAAGTTGATGGTGTTCTCCAACTCTCAAGTTGATAGTATTTTTTCAACTCTCCAGTTGACGATATTCTTCCAACTCTCAAGTTGACAGTATTTTCTAACTCTAAAGTTGAAGGTGTTCCAACTCGCAAGTTGACGAAATATTTTACAACTCTCAAATTGACAATATGTTTTCCAACTCTCAAGTTGATGGTGTTTTTCAACTCTCAAGTTAACCATATTTTCCAACTCTTAAGTTGAATGTATGTTTTCAAACCCTCAATTTGATGATATGTTTTTCAACTCTCAAATTGACAATGTTCTCCAACTTCTAAGTTGATAGTATTCTCTAACTCTCAAGTTGATGGTACTTTCGCAACTCTCCAGTTGATGGTATTCTTCCAATTCTCAAGTTGACGCTGTTCTTGCAACTCTGAAGTTGACACTATTTTCCAACTCTCAAGTTAACGGTGTTTTCCAACTCTCAAGTTGACGGTGTTTCAACTCTCAAGTTGATGGTGTGTTTTTCAACTCTCAAGTTTAGGGTATTTTTTCAACTCTCAAGTTAATGGTGTTTTCCAACTCTCAAGTTAATATTGTTTCATTAAATCTTAAGTTGTCGGTGTTTTCCAACTTTCAAGTAGATGTTATCTTTCCACCTCTCAAGTTGACGGTGTGTTCGAACTCTCAAATTGATGGTATTTTTCTAACTCTCGAGTTGATGATATGTTTCCAATACTCAAGTTAAAGGTAAGTTCCAACTCTTAAGTTGACAGTTTTTTTACAACTCTCAAGATGATGGTATGTTTTACAACTCTCAAATTGACGGTATGTTTTTCAACGCTCAAGTTGACGATGTGTTTTCAAACTCTTAATTTGATGGTATGTTTTCCAACTCTCAAGTTGAAAATGTTTTCCAACTTCTAAGTTGATGGTATTCTCCAACTCTCTAGTTTATGGTATTTTTGTAACTTTCAGTTTGACGGTTTTCTTTCAATTCTCAAATTGACATTTTTCTTTCAACTCTGAAGTTGACGGTATTTCTCAACTCTCAAGTTGACGGTATTTTCTAACTCTCAAGTTGATGGTGTTATGATTCTCAATTTGATGGTATGCTTTTCAAATCTCAAGTTGACGGTATGTTTTCCAACTCTCAAATTTATGGTGTGTTTTTCAACACTCACGTTGACGGTGTTTTCCAACTCTCAAGTTTAGGGTATTTTTTCAACTCTCAAGTTAATGGTGTTTTCCAACTCTCAAGTTTACAGTGTTTTCCAACTCTCAAGTAGATGATATCTTTTCAACTCTCAAGTTGATGGTATGTTCGAACTCTCAAGTTGATGGTATTTTTCCAACTCTCAAGTTGAGAGTGTTTTCCAACTCTCAAGTTACAGGTAAGTTTCAGCACTCAAGTTAACGGTGTTTTTACAACTCTCAAGTTTATGGTATTTTTCCAACTCTCGAGTTGATGGTATGTTTACAACTCTCAATTTGACGGTGTGCTCCAACTCTCAATTTGATGCTATTTTTCCAACTCTCAAGTTGATGATGTTCTTCATGTTGACGATATTCTCTAACTCTCAAGTTGATGGTGTTCTCCAACTCTCAAGTTGACGGTATTCTTTCAACTCTCAAGTTAATAGTGTTTCAACTCTCAAGTTGACGGTATGTTTTTCAACTCTCAAGTTGACGGTGTTTTTCAACTCTCAAGTTGACGGTGTCATACTCTAATTTTTACTCCTAAGATTCCACCTCATTTACATCTTTGCAATGCATCAAGATCACAAACTTTGTTGTCTCCTAACTCTCTTATCTTTGAGTTTACTTTTGCAAGATCATCAAAATAAAATTGTGTATCTTTTAACATTTTTGTACTTATATACTTTATAATTCACTAATTATTAATTAAAATACAAAATAAAATATGTCTTGTCTCTTTTATTTTTCTACGTAGAAAAAACAGATTTTTTACTTCAATCTCTCCAAAAACTTTCACTATGACTCTCTCTCATTTTGTTCTCTCTAATACTAAGTCTTTTTTCACTCTAAGTTCTTAATGTTTCAACCTTTCTCCCCTTGAATCTGTGCTCTAATTTATAGGCACAAATCCATCACTACGTTACCAATTGACAACATCATAAACTGATTTTTGTTATTATTTTGCATGAATTAAGATGGAAAAGGATTGTACATGTTCAGGTTGAGTGAGTTTAATAATAAAGATTATGAAGAAAAAAAAGTTGTTTTCTTGGCTTGAGATAGTGGCATAGAGGTTGAGTGCAACATTTTTCATTATAATGTATAAAAAGAAGTTGATTAATGTAGTATTTGATAAAAACAAATTAAAAAAAAAAAGAGGTAGATTGATGCACAATGAGAGAGAAAAGATGCAACAAAACCCATACAAAAAGTCTCTTCCTTTTTATTTTATTTTTGTATGGTTTGTTACTTTTGCCATTTGCACCACCTTTTGTGTTTGTTGGACCAAATGAAAAATGGGCTCAAATCAAAATGGATCAGATAGATTTTGCTAATCAATCTAGGGAGAACTAATAATTATCATAATGACTTCAAAATATACAAATACTTTTTTCACCCTTTTTTAAAATAACAAAGAAATTACAATAAAATTAAACACAAAAATCACATATTTTTTTGAAATCTTTTTTAATAACAAAGAAAATATTATATAAATAAAAAGAGAAAAAAACGACAACAACACTGATTACAAAATAAACCAAAAATATTAAAAATGCATTTGGTAAAATCGAATACTACATAAATTATTTTTTGGACAAACAAATTATTTACTTTCTAGTATAAACTAAACATCATTATACAATGATTTAATTTTATACCTTTTTCATATTAATTTATTTTAAAATACATTTAAATTTTGAATGAATTTTTCTTATAATTTATCAATATTCAACCAAACTCTAGAGTACTAAGAAATTTCCAACAACTTTTTGGTTCAACTATAAAGCCTTCTAACTTTTCTAATAATCAATGAAGGCTTCAAATTGTCCACCAAACATTATACAACCAAACTCCAAATGTTTCATTCAACTTTGAAGCCTTTTGATTTTTCTCTCAAATAATAAAGGCTTCCAAATTTCATTAACTTTTTCCCCTCTAATTATATAGTCAAAGAAGAAATAAGTTATAAAAGCTTTAAATTGTTCCCAAATCTTATCCATTTTTTGGAAAGTGATTGATTTCCTTTGCAAGATATGTCGATAATAACACGTTGCAAGCCCTACCGGCCTATTAGGGTCAAATTTGATTCACATACGTATGTTTTATTAGTTAATCATATTATATATCTTTTCTTTGAAATATGGTCACTTCAACAACATTTTGGGATTAATATTCCTAATCTTATTTTAATTTCATTCATATTATACTTTGTTGATACGTGCCAAAATTGATTAATCATTTCTTTTTAAAATTGGGTCCTACATTATTATTTTTATTTAGATCTTAAAAACATGTTACAAAATATTCGAAATGGTCTTTCATGTTAAAATTTCATATGACCAACCAGCTCATGAAATTTTTGCACCATATTATAGAATTAATTGGGCATGAGTTTGACCATTACAAGTCATATTTCTTGGCCTCTAGTTTTAATATGGCAGCTACAAGTATGTGTATAATTAAAGGGGCATAAAGAAAACATGTACTGAGAAAAATGTTTAATAGTTTTTGTTTTGCCCCCAATAAAAAAATAGTTGTTGC